ACTTGTAAATGCATTTATTTTATTTTTTTTCTGCACTTTCAGCAAGTACGCCCAATTGAGGCGATAGTGAGCAAAGCGCTTACCACTTTGATTCTTGTTGTTCACTGCTTACGCATAGTTTTATTCAACAAGCACCTTTTTACTTTCAAAGAAATTGCACTCACATTTCTTATTAACACTATTTCACTTCCGATAGGAAAACTTTGTGAATAAAGAATAAAGTATGCTTTTTAACACAATTTTCTGCGGTTACCACATCCGGCACGATTTTCTTATTCTACTCCTTCGAATATTCAAAAATGGCGCGTACCGAAAAGGAGGAACACAAAAAGTACTGTTCACTGCCTGATAATTTGTACAAATTATCTTTGCTGTGTGTTCAAAGCTGTTTGTCAAGATAAGCACATACATATTTATAGGAACTTAAAATTTTTATTTTTGTATGTATTAAATAAGAGGATGCCATTGCCTTTTTCTTTTTATATTCAAACCGAAAAAAAAGTTCGCACACCATTTTCAAAAGAGTTTTCTAGTTAGAGAATATAGTCATGAAGAAAAAAATATTTGCATTAATTGAAGATAAATACTGTGAATTGATTTAAGCAAAAAATCTGCCTATTTTTTTTTAGTCGTGCCCCTTTTGAAGATAATGCGCGAAATATAATAATTGAAAAAAGTCCAAAATCGATATATTCTGGACAGCCTTTTACGTGTGTACAAATAAATACATACATATGTATGTTACTGCGCCATTAATAGAAATCAAAACCCAAGCAGATATTAACAATATATATGTATGTAATAATAAAAAAGTAAGTGCGCCTGGGCCACACTGTAGAATTGAAACTTACGTTAGTTATCTATCTATACATACACACATCTGCCTTTGCTTAAGGTTATATTTTTTCGCCTTTTTTCTATCAATGTAGATAGATCCCCACTGTTCGTTTTAATAACATTCATGTTATTCTGTTTTCCTTTATCTTCATTTTTATCTTTATACTCTATCGATAATAAAATCGATTAATTCGATAAATATTTCAATAGCAACATCGATAATACCATTGGTAGCTAAATCGATCAAAATATCGATAACAAAATCGATAAATATCTATAAAAAATTGATAAAAATCGATAACAAAATTGATAATTATAGATAACAAAATCTATGAATATCGACAACAAAAGTGGTAAATATCGATAACAAAATCGATAAATATCGATAACAAAATCGATAAATATCGATAACAAAACTGATAAAAATATCGATTATTTTATCGATAAGTCTCGAGAATCCCGAAAATCTCTAAAATCCCAAAATAGTTCCCAGATTGAGTCTCTGTATCTCCCTATATCCTTTCCTCTTTAACTACTTCTATTTTAATCTTCCCCTATCTTCACCTTTGCTTTTATCGGTATCCTCATCCTCCTCTTTGTCATTAATTTATGTTTATCATTCAGACATATTCCCCTTCACATTTGCCCTTTTATATATAAGTAAGGTTTTTAAGTTTACCTTGGTCTTCATTTTTGCCTTTATCTTTACGTATCTTTGTTTTTGTTGTTATTTTTACCTTTGCCTTTATCCTTTTCTTCATTTGTGTACGTAGTCACCTTTACTTTCATTCTTGTATTGGTCTTTTTCTAAGTGTTATTCTTTCACCTTTTATTAGCAAATTTTTGTTAAATTAATACCACATGCATACACACAAGAAGCACTTGTTTCAGCACCAACCATTTCCGTGGCACCATTTCCGTTGCATACACACAAGAAGTACTTGTTTTAGCCGCAACTATTTCCATTGCCCCATTTCCGTTGCATCAGTTCCGTTGCATCATTTCCGTTGCAACATTTCCGTGTGCAATTTCCGCTGAATTTGCCAATTTACTCCCAACCAACCAACCGCCGCTAAAGAAGTTTCACTTCAATAAGTAATATTAATAACCGAGCTTTCAAATTTTAATAGATGTTACTTTTTCGATTAGCACATGCGTTATCTGTTTCTTAAAAAAACTAACTGACTTGACAATTAATTGCAAAAAAAAATATCATTTTTAAATATGCACGGTAAATGCTCCCACGTGATCACACACGCTTCACGGAAGGGCATGACTACTCTCGGGTTAAATAAAGGCCAGCCTTCGAGTGTACTTCTGTCATGAAAAGGCTTCTCAACCATGTGCCTTGCTGTGGGCCTCTAAATTTCTCTAACAACATTAAGGAGGAAGCTTGAAAAAACACTTAGGGCCGGTTGTTCGATGTCTGATTAGCACAAATTGGAGGTAGGAGCTACGGTTGAAAACAACTACTGCTTTAACGATCACATGTTATATGCATGATGTCGAAATAGTCGATAATGATGTTCTGGTGATAACCAGAGAATGAACAACCGGCCATTAGAAAAAATATTTTTTGTGTGCTTTTATCGTCACCTTCAATAAATATATGAGGCCTTGAGGGCCAGAGTTGCCCAACTAACATTTCAAAAAGGTTGAGGTGCACTACTAGAATCGAAACAGTAATATCCCAAGGCAATGAACTTTCTAGTAAACTACCGCATTTAATTTTTATAGATCCTTCTTTCTCATATTATTAAATTTTCTTTGTAAATAGGCTCCTCTAGTCCTCATTCCTCATATGTAAAAAGCTCTATTTGATAAATTAAAAATTTTACAAAAGAAGCAAAAGTGTTGTTTAAATTTGTATAGGAAATGCTTACAGAACTGTTTTAAATATGCTATTAGGTCTCATCCATGTGTATACATACTTATGTGGGGGCCAATAAACGGAATATTTATGAAAGTGTATTTATGAAAAAACCTTTTGTGTTGAAAATGACAATATCTGCGTAACTCATTGCTGAGTTCTTTGTTCTGCCATTTTTTAATGCAAAGATCAAGTTAATTACATAATATCAGCGTTTTGCACTGATTTTCACCATTTGAAGTAAGCACTGTCAGGTATTTATACAAAATCTTAAATAAAAATCGCAGCTTAATTAAGAGCATAAAACATTAGCAGTATTCACCAAATTGAGCAAGTGGCCAGGCAATATTGCAAAACACCAAATGAGCTCAAACAACAGTCGTTGCTAATATTTAAAAAGTTGCCAAAAATGTACTTTTCATAATTTCGTTTAACTTAGGGTTTACACCGGACAATAATGTCAAAATGATGTGTTTGTTGTAA